TTTTTTTTTTTTTTTTTTTGCGATTTTGAGTTAGCTAGGGCTAATTTAGAAAAAGTTGTATAATTAGTTGTTAGTGAGATTGTGAGTTTATATTAATATAACATTTAAAATAAAATAATTAAATTTGTTTGATGTAAAAATTGGAGAGAGATGATATAATGTAATGATTAGTTAAAATTGTGTGAGTGTATGAATAATTAATTAAGATTGATATGATGTGTAAAAATGATTAGTTGTTATTATTTAATTATTGATAATATTAAGGATAGTGATGTTGAGTTAGAGTTGAGTTAGATCTTGAGTAGAATTAATTTGGTTCGAGTGAGTTCAAGGCACACACCCTCAACTGGTTGTGACTTAGCTGCTGAGTCAAGCTGAGTGATTCATGAATTATGACTAGTGAAATTGATGATCTAACTTGGGCACTAACTATGAACAACTTGTGCTAACTGCCGAGTACTCTGCAACTAGTGAAGATTGTGATCTACAGGTTTATTTTCAAAACAATGGCTGCCTTGTTTTTACTTTCTCCGAACCAATCTCAACCAACTGATATGTTTGAGCTTGAAAACTGTTCACTTGGAACTAAGTAAACGCTATACATACCAAGAACATATATGCAATAATTTATATAGATTGTTTGTTAACATTTTAAGAAGCTACTACGAAACTACCTATTGATGAAGACCGTAAGAATTCTCTCAATCTTCATGCATAAATCGTGTGGTGGTTTGCGCACAATCATTCGTTCAGAGCTTTTATGCATCCAAAGGAAAAAAAGATTCAGTTCAGATAGGAACTGTTTCTTGATTCTGTGCTGAAGGTTCAAATACATCACAAGCAACTTAATAGGTTCATACAAAATGTGCCCGATCACCAAAAACATAAGGAATCTTAATAAGTAATTACTGATTCTACACTCCTACACTCCTGATAACATATCTTTGACTAACCACAGCTTCTCTTCGGGTAAACTTGACAGCCATCAAACTCAACTAACAAACTCTGAGTAATTCCTGCCACAAAAGACCATAATTTCAAATTTCATCATGGGAAAACAACAAATGTGATTTAAATTAGACAAACATAGAGAATTAGAAACTAAACAACGCTGAAGAATTGTTATACTGAAATTGACACGTCGCATATGACATTGTGTAGATTAAGGACCAAAAAAGTGAGCTTTAAGTTTCCAGAAAGAAAGTCTAAGAGGAAAGGTAGTCTATTGATCTATATATTCTCAATCTTCTTTACGATATCATCTTTATGTGTCCCCCAAAAAAATGAATGGTTTTTGGTAAATTCAAGCCGTTACAGCATAGCAATCTCATTAGCCATAAGTGACTGAAAGATGCTTGGGATTGCAATAATTATCTTAATATACCATCAACATGTTAGTATATATTCCGGACCAACAAAAGCAAGCCTAATTCAAAGAGTTTTTCAAGTCCATTTAGGCTATGTTTGGTAAACAACTAGCTGAAAAGATATAAGTTAAGCTGATAGTTGATAAGTTAATTTTGAGCTTAAAGTTAATAGCTTATGACTAATGATTGAAACTTTCAAAGCTGATATAATAAAAATATTTGGTAAAATTAGTTGACTGAAATATTTTTAATTTTCAAATGGCTAAAGAAGGTTATGTGAATTGTGATGAACTCCAACTTTTTGAAAAGCTCGTCCTATCAAGCCAAACCAAACTTTATTTTAATACAAAAAGGTTATAAGCTAAATGAATAAACTATAAGTTAGCTTATAGTGCTCACCAAACACAAAACATGCTCTTAGGCTATTGTACTTCCAAAAAATGACAAGTAGATACTAAAACGAACATCAACACTTTATATTCGTGCAAAATTAAGGCAACTAAGCTAAAGTCATTGCACAAACTTAAAATGAACAATTCAAAACAAACAAGCAATTACACATAAATGAAGCCATTCAGTATTTCTGAAGAAAGTGGCCCAAAAATAAAAGCAACAACCACATTCTTCCAAGTATAAGAAAACTAGTGCACACAACACTTGAATCAAGTAAAGCAATTTCTCATACAATAAACCAGCATTAACAACTTACCAGAACAAATCACTTTTCCTACTGTCAATTCTGAGGTGGATTGGGTGGCATTCCCGGCCTAGGCGGACCAAACATTTGAGCTTGTCCACCTGGTGGTGGTGGCGGCATACCCGGCCTAGGTGGCTGCTGCAAAGGTGGGGCCATTCCAGGCCTAGGTGGCCCACCTGGCAGTGGCGGCCCCCTCATCATCTGACCTGGCGGCCCCATCGGAGGCCTCTGGGCAAACTGACCTGGAGGAGGAGGACCAAACCCACCTGGCGGCGGCATACCTGGCCTGAACTGTGGTGGATGAGGCATCGTCATCCCAGGCCTAGGCGGGAACCCTCCCGGAGGTGGAGCCACCGCCGGCGGCGGCGGCCTGACCACGGGCGGCTGCTGAGGGTAGGCCATGGGGGGTACCGATATCTGGGGAGGCCGAGAGAACTGGGGCTGCATCATGGACGGAGCTGGCCCACCTACGCCACGTACGGGCCCTGCGAGCCCGGGCTGCGCGGTGATTGGGCCAGCGACGACCCCCCTGCCCGCCGCGCGGCCGATTCCCGGCCCGGGGATGGCGCTGGCCGAGGCCGTCTTGAGGCGGCCGTCGTCGGGGGGCGGGGGGCCCTCAACGGTAAGCGAGATCACCTCCTCGCCCCTGAGGAGGACGAGACCGAGGGTGCGGCGGTCCTCGCGTTCTTCCTTGGAGCCCTTGGCCGGCGGCAGCTTGCGGAACTCCTCGCAGTCGCCGAGGACGAGGTTCATGTGGCGATCGAAGGCCATGAATTTGCCGATCAGCTGGCGGCCGTCCTGGATCGTCACGCGCATCCGGTAGTTGATGTACTGGAGCATCTTCGAGCTCTTGGACATCGACATCTTTTTCCCAAAATTGCAGCTTTCTCTCTCTAGGGTTTGGAAATTTTTAGAGAGGGGGAGGACTGTGAGTAGGGTTTTGTGAAATTGCAGAGGTTTTTTCGTCTGATTTATTCTAATATAAA